TTAGTGTTAAAACACTACTTTAAAGATAACGATCACAGGGACACCATAAGTAGCAAAACTGCAGTCTTCTTAATCTTCCACTACTAGCCCAACTAGCTCAGGTCAATTGGAAACAGAACTCAACAATATCTGAAGGGCCACATATTCACATGTAACAATCTTTCTTTTCTTTTCTTTTTTTAAAGGACATCAAGTACAGTAGTTTGCAAAATGGAGGCTCCTAAATTCTAGGGAAGAAGGGGAGCAGCTATTTTGCTCATATAACTATCAACCTGGGCTCCATCCCCCAAAATGGGAAATGACAGCTTTTGAAGCTTGTGCTGGGTATTATGCACAAAAGGAAGCCAAATACAGAAACAGATTTCCATCACTGCTTGCCATGGATGAAGAGGAAGCAGCAGAGGAAACTGATCCCTCCTGTGCAGTCTGCCACCAGCAGCAACAAGCTAAGAACAGAGATGGGTTATATGTCACTTCATTTGGATATGGAACATTTTGAGGCCAAAACTGGAATGTACAAAATATTGCACTGTATTCTCTGAATGAATTGTTCAGTTCAGAGTTCCAGCTATCACCCCCAAGAAGATTAGCCTACTCTTACATCATTGTTTTCTTTTCTCCACCACTGCCACATAAGTACTCTTCATTTTTTGGCGACTGAGTATGCTTAAACCTTGCCAAAACCTGCATGTGTATGCACCTGTTTGTCCTTTTGGGGCTTAAAAGATTCTACTTGTGCACACCGTGCACACTGATCCTTATTTCTTTGAGTTGTACTTCTGTTCATGCAACCAAATACTGCATTTGCTTCTTTTACCACTGCATCACACTGCTGACTTATGCTTATGTTGTTGTTTATTAAGGTCTCTAGAATCTTCTCAAATGTACTAGTGCTGAGCCAACTGTCACCCATTTTACATTTGTGTATCTGTTTTTTCCTGCCTAAATCCAAAACCCTACATTTTTCCATGTCAAAACTAATTTTGTTCATTTTGATCCAGTTCTCCTATCTGTTCAGGACATCTTAAATTTGATTCTGTGTTCTGAAGTATTATCTATTTGGTAAGCATCCCCTCCATGTTTTAATCCAATTCATTTATAAAGATGTTGAACACCACAGAGCTAAGGAAAGAATGTGTGACACCACACCTGTCACTTCTCTCCAGGATGACAACGAACCATTGATAAGTATTTTGAGTAGGGCCCATCAACCAGCTACAACGCCACCAAAACTAGCATTGTTTTTACCAGCTTGGTAGCAAAAATATTATGAGAGACTTTGTCAAAAGCCTTCCTGTGACCAAGCCACTCTGTATCAGCAGCATATCCCTCCCCTACCAGGCATGAGACGCTATTAAAAATGAGATAAGAGTAGTTTGGCATGATTTATTTTTGAAAAATCTATGCTGCATCTTAAAAATCACAGTTTTCTATGTGCTCACAGACTGATAATCTGTTCTACAAATTTTGCCAAGTTGACCACTAATAGTTGCATCAATCTTCTTTTCCCTCCACTTCTGAATATGATGTTTTCTTTGCTCACCTCCAATCTTCAGCGACCTCACCTGTTCCCCAATAATTCTTAAGGGTTACAGACAGAGGCTGTGAAATTACATCTTTAACACTGTTGGACGCAGTTCAACTGGATGAAGAAACCTGAACTGATTTAAAGTAGATAGATGTTCTCTATATTTGATAGCAGCTCCTTCCCTTCCTCTTTTATTCTGCCATCACTACTGTTTTCCTTTGGGAAGACAGAAGCAAAGTAGGCGTTCAGCACTTCTGGTTTCTCTCTTTTGCCCATCAGTATTCCTCCGTCCCCTTCATACAAAGGACCTACCATTTCCTTCTTTATCCTCTTCCTCGAGCAAAATTCCCTTTTATTATTTTTAACCTCTCTTGCAAGTCTGAACTCATTTAGAGCTTTACCCTTCCTTTTTTCCCTGCTATTGGCTATTTGTCTGTATTCTTCCTTTGTGAGTTGCCCCTATATTTCTTATACAAACCCTTTTTAAATCTTGGCTCATCTAAAAGCTCCTTATGAGCCCCCTTGATTTCTCTAAATGTCTTTCCACCTTTTTCTCCTCACAGAAACTGCTTCCACCAAGTGTAAAGTAAGTCAATTCAGTCAAGAACTTCCTGAACAGCTTCAAGCAAGCCACTATTCTGCAGCCCCCATCAACTGGTAACACTGATCCTATAGGGTTATATCTGTGAAGATTCTCAGTCATCCAGGTGTGGTTTTCTGGAAGTTGAGTCATGGCAACTGGACTTCTTCCTTATTAGGTTGAAACGTTTTGCCACTCAACCAAACAGTTTCTTCAGTCTGAGGAGAGTTGGTAGGAGATCCTATTCAGACCGGGGGGGAAGTGAAACCAATGTGGAGGATATATCAGGGATCTCTTACCAACTCTCCTCATACTGAAGAAGCTGCTTGGATGAGTAGTGAAATGTTTCAACCTAGCAAGAAAGAAGCCCGGTTGCCATTACTCAACTTCCAGAGATCCTATAGGGCTGTTGTAAAGATTACTCTGATAATGTGTATGAAACACTTTGAACAGTGACATATGCCAACTGGGTAGTCAAAAACAAAGCAAAAACAACACAAGGCATATGGAAATAAACAAAGTAATACAAAGGAAGGTCTCCATGCAGCACTCATTCATGCATTCAAGCTAAACATTTTCATCAGAGTACACTGTATTTCACTGATCATGCAGTAGAGGGCAAACTAAGTACACTTTGGGAAACTGAAAACCTAGAATCATAAGCTATTGTTCAGTCACACATATGGCATAGCACCTGCAGTTTTTACCTCTTATCTTCCCTGCACCTGTTTAGAGGCACAAGATAATAAGAAGCAGTGGTTCTCATCTAGTTCCTTCAACTGAGTAGTTAGGGTTCAAATCAATACCAGTTAAATTCCTAACAATGAAGATAATGGGTAGAATGTACTTCAGACCAATATAGGTCAGCAGATGTGTTTTCTTCATAAATTGAAGCAGTTCTATATATGAAAGACTAGCAACTAGTTACAAGGAGTCCATCAATCACACAACTAAAGACGTGGACATTTCTACAGTTCCATCCTACCTTGGTTGGAGGACTACACTGTCGGCTAGATAACATTTAAGAAAATTTTCAAAGGGATCCAAGCACTGGAGGTCAAGCAGGCATGTGGGCTGTGAAGTTGTAAAGAACAATCCCTTGCTCAGCTCACTGTGGGGAACTGGTTCACTCACTCTGAACAGATGTGTTCCCGACATTTTCAGGAGAAAGAGTTACTGTTAATTCTTGAACTGGCATGCCTCCTGGTAGGACAGATGAAGCAAATCATAAGGAAACTCTATAAAAGTAACCAGTTCAAATTCAATGGACTTAGCAGTTCAAGTCGTGGGTTTTCATACCAGAAGTGAGTCAACTGGTCTTCAGGAGTGATTGAACAGGGTGTAGACATTAAAGCTTTTCTCCCATGATCCTCTGCTGGATGTTAAAACTACAATCGTGCTTATCAGAAAATAGGATGTTGCCTCCAAAAAGATGTATTCTTAAAAAACCACTCCTTTGAGGTGTTTACAGATAGCAGAATCTGACACTGTGTCAGCAGATGTCAAGAACCACCTTCAGGAAGGACTTTAACCCAATAGTACCAGAAGTAATTATCAGCCACAAAAAGAGAACAAGAGGAGGCAAACTGTTCTGTTTAACAGCTAAACGACTGGGCTGCAGAGAACAAGACTACATTTATTTCTACAAAGGTCATAAAGGGTCTCCACTCCATTTTGCATGTGAAGGCAAAAAAAAGCTTTATGGAAACATGAGGCTATGCATTCCATATTCAGTGGCATCAGGAGGGTTTAAATCCATGTTGATACAACCTCATGTATTTAACTAGGTAAGCAGGAAAAACGTAATACTCACCAAGTAACATTAATTACTGGAAGAGTGGCAGATCCCAAATTTACTCACTTCCTTCCTTCCACAGTACCGCTCGCACTATGTGATGCCCTACTCACTGGCTAAAATTTCTATCATTATTCTAATAGAGTTTCAAGTTTCTAACCAAAAGATGAACAAGAGGTGGCCTTGCAATTTCTACATGTGGATCCAGCTCCTAAATGGCAACAATTCTATTATAGAAACATGGTGTATTCTATACAGAAAATCAACCCTGAGTGCTCACTGGAAGGACAAATCCTGAAGCTGAGGCTCCAATACTTTGGCCATTGCATGAGAAGACTCCATGCAAAAGAACTTAATGTTGGGAAAGTGTGAAGGCAAGAGGAGAAGGGGACAACAGAGGATGAGATGGTTGGACAGTGTCATCGAAGCTAGCAACATGAATCTCACCCAACTCCGGGAGGCAATGGAAGACAGGAGAGTCTGGCATGTTCTGGTCCATGAGGTCACAAGGAGTCGGACACGACTTAACGACTAAACAACAACTTCTGTTTTACAGAATCCTGTTTCCAGTGGGTTACTGGAGGCTAAATGCTATTGGGTGCAAACTACACAGATCCAATATGCTATGCTTCTCAGAAGAAATGCTGAATTCGGATGAACTTGGATGATGACAACAGATTTTATGGCAATGTCAGAGGTACACAGACTTCCAGTGGAATCCTGGATGACAATGCCTCCCCAAAGAAACTGGTCAATGCCTGATCTAAGAAACTGAAAATCATGTCCCTACCTGGCTTGAAATTCAGTTATTAGATAGGATAATGCCCTAGATGAGTTCAGTATCCCCAGTTTGTAGTGTATTAAGTTTTGATCAGCAGCTAGAAATTCTGAGCCAAGTCTCACATATGCTCTACATTCCCCTTCCTAATTTCTGTCTCTTTTAGACTTTGAGCTGCCACAAAGAATTTGTCTTTATTAAAGTTATGCAAATATTTGAAGCATTGTAATATTATTATTACTCTTGAAATATTACAAGAGTGTTTACTGTCACTCATCCTCTGCTGCCTTACAAACACCACAAAAAAGGCTACACTTACGGTGCTCTGTCATTATTCAGCCCATTCTGTCTCTGAGTGTTAATTGGTGGCAGAATTGGCTTGCTATTAATCTCAAGTCCCCTTCGCAGAGTCTCTCGGATTTGTTCTGTATCTGAAATGACATTAATTTAAAAATAATTTCAATTATCAGTCCACAAGGTAAAAACCACATTGTTGATACAAATAGCAAACTATGGGAATTAATGTAGGATTTCACACTTGGTTATGATGACATAAGAATCCTTGATTGATATTGTTTTGGATCCATTTTGTTTTGTTTTGTATCTAATATGCTTGCACATTTTTCGAAAATCTGACGTTAGATGTTTCCCAAGCAGTGGAATGCATATAGGAAAGGTCTATCTTCTACATACATTTTTTATCTGGAATAATAAATGGTTTAGAGTGAACATATTCAGGCTGTAGCCTACAATGTACTTCAAGCCTAAAATATAAAGTTGACAGTCTCTTGAGAGATCGTTCTTATTGCTGCATAAACTTAGCTTTTATGCCCAGAAAACAAACCTCTTGTTGCTTCACCAGGTTCTCTCTTACCTTTCCCAGACAATCGTCGGGGATGTGTGCCAATGCATATACTTCTACTGTCTTCATCATCTTCTGGAGGCCGGCTAAGGTCATCCCAGGCACATTTAGCGCTGACACCACTCAGGTTCGAGCCATCTGTTTCAATTCCTTTATCAACTCTGTCCTGCTTAAAAATATTTATTTATTTATTTAACTTATATGCTGCCCACTCTACCCAAAGGTCTCTGGGCGGCTTACAACAAATTAAAATTAAATTAAAATACAATACAATAAAAGATAAAATGATTAAAATACAATTAAAATTGCTATCAGGACCC